TTGTTTTTACACTCTGGTTTTTGTACAGATGAAACCAACAAGATGTGTTGTACCAGATAGCCGCCCCCCCTTCCTTTCCAGTTTTTATGCTAAGCTAACCAGCTGCTGGCTTCAGTGTAGTATTAATCTTCTCAGCAAGCAAGCGACTAAGTGTATTTCCCAAAACGTAAAACTGTTGCTTTAAAGCCTGTAGGTTATAGAAGATGAGTGCAAACAATAGCAGTCTGTATATTTTACACTACACATGTAGTGTTTTAGTGAAAAGACATCAAAATACCTCTAATTTGAGAAAATGTGTTTTTAGAAGTGTTATACTATTTGTATATACTTATAAATAACTAATAAGAGCTATTTATTTGCAGAACTTAAGATTTTAAAATTGTTTGACTGATGCGTTCGAGTTACATTGGAGGGATTGTTTTTCACATTTTACTCACATGCAAACTTCACACCAAGTATATTAGAGTCAAAAACCCAACATTCTCCCACATATTGGCTGACTGTTTTACTCACTCACACACTGTTACATGCATACAGTGTCTCACATACACTTCTACTCAATCACACACATCCACATACCCATAAACGGTTTCTCATCCCGGGGTGGAGTGAGTATCCCATGGTGCACTGTAATGGAACCTCCAGGTGGTCTCTGATTGGCTTGGATCACTGAACATCCCTTGGAGATGGTTGCAAGCTTCTTGTTGTCATCTCCCAGTGGGGGGTTGCGCCGTTAAGACTCATTTTCGAGTTGTTTCTGCGTTTCTTCCTCATATGAGGAAAACTGTTTATGCTGGTAACGTGAGATTTAAAGGAAATAAAGGAAATTGACTCGATGTGTTTTCAAACACTTTATTGACCTCTGCTTTTATATAAAGACTTACATGTCACACTACTCATACACAACACAGGTGGTCTAGGAAATAAATAGTTGATTTCTAATTTACACATTTTCTGAAGAGGAAGGGTCAGCTCCCCCCCAATTACAAAAACTGTTTTTCCCACTTCTTGTAGTATCTAACCAAAAAGAGAATTTTGGTTTGACTCAGCCAGGTATTGAGATATGTCTCTGAAGGTTGTGCTACCACCCCATTACAATGGAGGTTAATGGACATAATTTGTGACGCTCCCAGAATAGAAAAAATTTATTTCTAGAAGCAATGTCCCAGTTTCTCTAGATAATATACAGACCTTACTGTAATCAGTTTCCATAGGAACTGTTTTCTACCGAAGAAAACTGTTGACGGTGTATTCTGTGAAATATCTAGAGTATCCGGGACACTGCTTCTGGAAGGAGACGTTTCTGGTTTTGTTTTATTTAATGAGCACCACAAACAAAATTCCTTTCAACTCCATTGTTTTGAGGTAAAGAAACCTCAGAGATGGATATCTCAAAACCAAATAAAACCAAAACTAGCAAGATTCTACTAGAGCCAAGTGACAGAAATTTCTTTTAAAATAATTTACATAAACTGACGCTTTAATGCTTAGGCCCCATAAAACATACCATCTAATATCTCAAATGCAGTGTAGAGCCTGGCCAATACCAATAGAGAACTATATATCGGCCGATTCTTTTAACAAACATTTTTGGTAAGGATCCCTTAATTTAATAAAGTTGTGACCAAGATTCTGTAAGTACTAAGTAATTTTTTTTAGAATTTGAAAATAAACTCTAGTGACAATGAGTATGTGAGTATATAATGAAGACAAAGTTTCTAAATGACCTAAAAAAAACTGTCTACTGCAATTACTTGTTAATTAACGGCCGTATTTAAGCAAATACCGATATATACGTGTCTGTGAAAATTGGCTAATGCAGATGTATAAGTCAGGCTCTAATGCGGTGTACTACATACTTTTTCCCCTTTTGTTTCTATCTTAAATTATATACTTTACATATAAAAATACAGTGAGCCCAGTGTACTCCCTTTTTAACAGTCCTATTACAAGAAAGTATTAAAATACAACAATGGGCAAGAAAATAATACTTATAGGGCTTATAATAAGGCTTGGACTGGAGACTTGCTCTAGGTTGTACTCTATAGCCTTTTACAGTTTTGTTTCATTTCCTATAATGGCACATCAAATAGCAACACTGACCCTAAGCAGAGAACTGCACAACACTTTTCCCGTTTATGGGAGCTACAACCTCAAAGACTCAAGAGCGGCAATGCCCTGAACAGAGCAGACTGAAGGAAAAGTAATAGTACATGATGTCTAGTAACGGAGTTATCTGGGTTGTCCGCAGAGGAACAAAAAATAACAAAACATTATTTTAAAAGGCATTTTTTGAGGAATTAAACAGGTCTCAGCTCCCCTTTCTTGCCTGCTTCGTGCCCAATGTGTCAACAGACACCGGAAAACAGCTGCTGTTTGATCCGCTCTTCCATCTTCACCTCCTCTTTGACCCCTCCTCCATCCCTCTGACACACATCTGTCCATCTCACCGACTTCTCCTGCTTGGACAGTGGGACCTCGTCAATTTCGGTTTCCTCTTCCTGCTCTTCAACAGACGCCCTGCTCCCCGATAGGAACGAGAAGCCCTTTTGATGCTGTGCATCCTCTCTGCTCTCCTCTCCACCTTTCTGAGGGCCCGCTCCTTCACTCCTTCCGCTGTCCCTGCTCTTCCTCCCATCTGTCTCTCCTTCCTCCTCTTTTGTGTTTCTTCTTAACCTGTCCATCTCTGTCTCCATCACAGGGGACCTGTTTTCTCTCTCCTCTTGCGTTTCTCCAGTAGATTTCTTCTTTGCCTTGCTGCGACCCCTGAGGCTCAGCATCTGAAACCAAATGGAAGTGTTTGAGACAGTTTTGCGCTTTGTGCCATGTCTTTTTCTTTCCATCTCTCCAGACACCTGACAAACCACAACAAAGCCTCTTTTATTGACGCCTCTTTCCTGTACAGTTTGAGGTCGACTATTTGCCTATTATTAGATGTTTCCTGAGCTGGTTTATATTTGCTGTACATCCCATATTTAGTAACATGACTTTTTAATGGCACCTTCTGTGACATAAAGTCACGTATCCTAAAGGCACAACAGAGATAAGTGACAGATTTGCTGCGAAGATGGAAGACAGAGGGGAACAAACCTTGAAGTCTTTTCTCTTGCGCTGCAAAACGGGTCTCTGAAGGAAAAGGATTTGCTTGGTCGACAAACTGCCGTCACTAAAGAAAGAAAAGAGCAGCACTTTTACTACTGTTACCTGTTATGTTATAATCTGAGGAGCTTGCATACTGCTACATATATTGAAATCCACCGCTGCGGTTTGCAAAGTGACAGGTTACAAGACAACAGCACATCAGCGACTGTGTTGTTCGCAGCTCCAACAGATTTCAAAAGCAGTTTCATGTTGAGATCAGCATATGATCATGATTTGTCAGATCTCGAACCATCTGTCCTGTGTATCTAAGCTACACTTTCTGTCCTTATCCCCAAAAGAAGGACACAGGCAATGCAATAAGTCCTCATCGATTTTTGGTGGTTAAAGAAAGACAGGTTTAGTAGAGATGTGAGTTTATGGTTGGTATCTTGGGGTGTAGTTCTGTACCTGTTGGTCTTGACAATTGGTGTGGGTAACACACACATTAGCCTCCATCCATACGGAGCCAGAGACTGGAGCAAAGGGATGTAGTCTGTCTTCACCACAACACCCTAGATGGGAGAAAGAGTCACAGACGTTACAGTACGCGTGCAGGTAGTTAAATCTAAGCTCAGCCACAAGCACACACGCTACTTTCCTTCATCTCCACTCTTATGTAATGTTTGACAGAAAACTGTGTAAGCCTTCAGTCACAAACGATTTCTCAAAGTGCACGTCTTCTCTAAGGTATTAAAAACTCAAAGACCCACATCAACAACGGTCCACTGCTCAACTACGATGGCGTCGAAGGAGGTGTTAGTTGTCTCCTCTGCAGAGCTCTGGAAGATGAACACGCTATCCACGGACGAAACCCCATTGTCTGTAGAAACAGGACAAATTAGAGACAGACTCAGACAAACGGGAGAATGTATGTGATTCAGACAGGAGTTATAAGCTCATCTCCACTCTCCAATCTCTCACTATTGATCCCCCGTTCCCTTTGGCTTAAGCCTACTTATTCCATGGATGACTGAACAGTGACTTATGGTGTAAGCCCTGGACTTAGGGCACATAACTCCATGTATACTGTATCATTCATTACCCAGCAGTGAGCCTGAGCAGCTTTTTCTTCTTGAACTAGTGGAGCTCAACCAGTGAAAATTATTGAGTTAAAGCCAGAAGATAAGGTGAAACATTTACTTTAAAGCTGCAATAATACATATTCTTATATTGACAATAGATCAAACGACTATGTTTTATGTGAAAGATGTTACTGATGACCCCCCCTACAGATAATTGTCATCCAACTCTGCAGCTCGGCCAATGGTTTCCTGACCCAAAACTTCATTGTTTTGCTTCAGTCTTACTGTTGTCATCAATCTTGTTTCCAGCCACAGAGGGCAGTTTTTTTTAGGAAAAAGCTCTGATAAACTGTACTCTACCAGTGAAGCAATAGACAGGTGACAAATAGAATTAGTGACTAGTACCTAGTGAACATAGGAGCATGTAGTTGCTAAAGAGCCGGATATTTCCCTTAGGAACTGGTGGAGACGAAGCTAAAAGGAGCATTAGTATCGTACTTACATTCGCCAGGTGGGCAGAAACACACTAC